TGCTGCCATGGAGCGGCCGCCATCGACAGCTAGCGCCTGGCACATGCGCAGGATCGCCGCTGAGGCGGTCCTCGCCTGTGATAAGGTGTCTCCACTGAGCGCCTGGCCAGAAGAGAGCGACCTATCCAGGGTTCCCGTGATGAAGGCCATGTTATTTGCCACAGCGACGACCTGTGCCGCATTGGCGTAACATCTGTTGTGCATCGCCAAAGACGTCCTGTCCCGCTCGGAGGGAAGGAGAGGTCTGGTGCCGGGCCACACGGATGCAGAGGGCTGCAGGGCCATGCGGACTGAATCCTCGATGTCCGGGACCCCGCCGGTCCAGGACCAGTCCTGCACGCTGCAATACATGCCGTAACCCAAAGCGGGCCTCTTGGCCGCTAGGGGCTTTGGCCACTCACGTGTCGCGTAATGGACGATCGGGTCCATCCGCGGGCACAACGTGGGCTGTATCCTCCTCCTCCCTCGAGTGGTGGCGTAACCAGAGGTGAAGTCTTCCGCCCTCTGGGTCGGCTGCGGTGGCAGGGGGGCATCCATGATGGCCGCCGCGGAGGAGTAGAGCCCAGGCATGTGGTCCAGTGGGAAGCGGTCCGGCTTCGGGTTCGAGACCACCTCGTCCAGGGTGAGGAGGGAGCCAATCTCCGAAGCCTCTCCATCTTCGCAGTCACCCCACTCCGCGGGCACGGGTGGAAGGTCGAGTGGGGCCCAGTCAGTCTCAGACTCCTCGTCCTGAGAGGAGTCCGGACGGGGCGCTGCAGCGGCGAGGTACGCACGCCTGCGTTCGCTCTCCTCCCTGGGGAGAGCGAGACACGAGGTGCAGGTGGCGCTCAACGCCGCATGGCCCGGGCCCAGGCACATGAAGCAGCTGGAGTGCTGGTCCGTGCGCTGGAGCCTGACTCGACACGTCGAGCAACGACGACGTCCGACGCCGGAGGGCAAAGGGGAACTCGGACGAGCATCAGAAGACATCTTTCTCTGGAATAAAGTACGTACTGTGGTAGATCTCAATCGGCGCCAGAGTGAAAGAGGGGGTGCGGCCTTGTGCAGGGGCCTTTATAGAGGAGGGTGGCTGGTGATTGGAGCAAATTATTTTGATCTCTCTGGCGTGTGACCTGGGGGTCACGAGAGATATCCCACTAGCGAAGTCCTAAGGGACGTAGCACCATGACGTAGAACACATACTACTGTTATATAAAGTCACCTCCGTGAACACATACTACTGTTATATAAAGTCCGTGGAATGTCTGTGAGCAAAGACTCGCTGCAAAGCTGCATATTGGAGAGGATCTGTACACAAGAAGCCGCTAGCATAGCTCTGTTAGCATCAGAGCCGGCTACTTCTGGTACTTCCGGCTCGCGTCAAGACGTTCTGGTGTGAAGTCCTCTGCGTCTGAAAACTAGAGAATGCGCGTCTGGTGAGCGGGGCTTCAGCGTTTCAGCGTTGGCGGTGTGAAAGCCCCATTAGACTGTTCCAAGGTTGAGGCTCCGGACAAAAGGTGACCGAGCCTTCTCTGTCTGGGCTCTTCGGATTTGGAACCACCTGCCCGAGGAGAGACCAGAGAGAGACCATAGAGAGCCTACCTGCCAGAGGAGAGAGACCATAGAGATTCTACCTGCCAGAGGAGAGAGACCAGAGAGACCATAGAGAGCCTACCAGCCCGAGGAGAGAGACCAGAGAGAGCCTACCAGCCCGAGGAGAGAGACCAGAGAGAGCCTACCTGCCAGAGAAGAGAGACCGGAGAGAGCCTACCAGCCCGAGGAGAGAGACCAGAGAGAGACCATAGAGAGCCTACCTGTCAGAGGAGAGAGACCAGAGAGAGACCATAGAGAGCCTACCAGCCCGAGGAGAGAGACCAGACAGAGACCATAGAGAGCCTACCTGCCCAAGGAGAGAGACAAGAGAGAGACCATAGAGAGCCTACCTGCCCAAGGAGAGAGACAAGAGAGAGACCATAGACAGCCTACCTGCCAGAGGAGAGAGACCAGAGAGAGCCTACTGTACCTGCCCGAGGAGAGAGACCAGAGAGAGACCATAGAGAGCCTACCTGCTAGAGGAGAGAGACCATAGAGAGCCTACCTGCCAGAGGAGAGAGACCAGAGAGAGACCATAGAGAGCCTACAGTACCTGGCCGAGGAGAGAGACCAGAGAGAGACCCTAGAGAGCCTACCTGCTAGAGGAGAGAGACCAGAGAGAGCCCACCTGCCACAGGAGAGAGACCAGAGAGAGACCATAGAGAGCCCACCTGCCACAGGAGAGAGACCAGAGAGAGACCATAGAGAGCCTACCTGCTAGAGGAGAGAGACCAGAGAGAGACCAGAGAGAGCCCACCTGCCACAGGAGAGAGACCAGAGAGAGACCATAGAGAGCCCACCTGCCACAGGAGAGAGACCAGAGAGAGACCATAGAGAGCCCACCTGCCACAGGAGAGAGACCAGAGAGAGACCATAGAGAGCCTACCTGCCACAGGAGAGAGACCAGAGAGAGACCATAGAGAGCCTACCTGCCAGAGGAGAGAGACCATAGAGAGCCTACCTGCCAGAGGAGAGAGACCAGAGAGAGCCTACCTGCCAGAGGAGAGAGACCAGAGAGAGCCTACCTGCCAGAGGAGAGAGACCAGAGAGAGCCTACCTGCCAGAGGAGAGAGACCAGAGAGAGCCTACCTGCCAGAGGAGAGAGACCAGAGAGAGACCATAGAGAGCCTACCTGCCAGAGGAGAGAGACCAGAGAGAGCCTACCTGCCAGAGGAGAGAGACCATAGAGAGCCTACCTGCCAGCGGAGAGAGACCAGAGAGAGCCTACCTGCCCCAGGAGAGAAGGCTAGCACCATCACTGTCCTCTTAAACCACTTCAAAACCACTTTTATCAAACTGTTAGTTTTAAACTTCCATTTAGTATTTTACGGTCTGCTTTGTCTTTGTTGTGTCTACCCTATTCGACCTAATTGTTCTGACTTTGTATTCTTATGACTGTTTATCAGGCTGACTGTGCAGCGCTTTGTAAACATTGTTTTTTAAAAGTGCCATACAAATAAAGATGATTGATTATTATTACTATTATTATTAATAATAATAATAATAATAAGATTATTATTATTATTATTATTATTATGAATACAGTGTACATGAGCAGCTTTGGTCCTGTGCTGTTTCCTCATGTATCTTTACTATAAAACCTTCCTCAGCACTACGACTACTGTGCGTTCTTCCAACTGCTGTTTTTAATTAGGGGCCGCCAGCTAAATGCTTTACACATGCTTTTCTCATAATGCATACAGCAGACACACTCAGTCTCCAAGTATTGTCAAGGTTATCATTTTTACCAGTAGTATATTTGGCCCTGATTGTCTTTTCATTGAACGAACCCCTTTCAAATTTACTGTAACACTATTATGTATAAATGTATTTGTGTTTGGCTTCGATCTTGTCTGGGTTTGCAGAGAGATGAAGTGTGCTTGATGGCGTAATCACAACCCATAATTTCGACTCGATACATTACTCAATTGCTCAAGCACGTTCCTATCATTACATTCGCAGACATGGACTTTGGCTCAGATCGGGTCCAAATTGCAGCGGCCAGCAAATAATTTGGGATGTTCACAGTAAAAAAAAAATCTGTCAATGATTTGAGAAGTTTGTTGATATTACTGTCGACTATTTAAAAGAGTTGTCTGGCTGAACAATAACAGACAAAAATTGAAACCCTAATTATAGTTTCCATTAGAGAAAGCCAATCAGGTTTTTGGAAGGTCAAGTGCTTAGACTGTCATTACAAGTAGCTGCTTCTGGTGTCAAGTTGATGATCACAGACTTTCTGATTGGTGAAACGGTGGAGAGCGGGACATCGAAATGAAAACAATAACAAGATTTAGGGTTCGGAAAAGTAATTTAGAAATTCAAATAGCTCTGAACTACTGTTATCAGTTAAAGAAGGATTGAAAAAGAGCAGTTTTTATGAATGCCTTTTTACAAATTAGGGCCATTTAATGATGACTTAAAATGAAAATCTTACACATCTTTAACATTACTCTTCAACCCCTGGTGTTTGAAGAGATTATTAAAGGAGCTTCTGCAATAGTATGAGCAGGGATCGTCAGCTCTGTCCGATCTTGCTGTATCCATGACTTACACTTCCTTCTAAGTCTCCAGTCTGGTATTCCTTGCTTCTTTGATTCTATGCTACTTGGTCCAACCACTTATGAGCAGTTTGGAACAAAGTCAGGACCATGACTTCAGACAATTTGAGAAAATAAATGTATTCAGTTCATAATATGAACCTCAATATGACATTTGTTTTGGGTAGCTGAGGTTTTGTGGTAAAAAGTCAAGCACACGTCTCCATTCCCAGAGTAATGTGGTGTGATCTGATGACAAGCCACATTAATAAACTATAAAGTCATTAAGACCATGACACTGAAACAGAAACACCATCATTATGAATAATCACAGTGCATTCAGAATTTTACTCTGGACCAGATCCGAGAAAAGGGTCTGAACCAAGAGGCTGCTCCACCTCTGCTGCTGTGACCTGAAAGACTGTTGGATTTTAAAAACATTGTTGCTTATTTTATATATGTATCAATCTCTGTATCTTTGATGAATCTGAAAACATAAGGAGTTGTCTGGCTGAACAATAACAGACAAAAATTGAAACCCTAATTATAGTTTCCATTAGAGAAAGCCAATCAGATTTTTGGAAGGTCAAGTGCTTAGACTGTCATTACAAGTAGCTGCTTCTGGTGTCAAGTTGATGATCACAGACTTTCTGATTGGTGAAACGGTGGAGGAATGAAAACAATAACAAGATTTAGGGTTTGGAAAAGTAATTTAGAAATTCAAATATCTCTGAACTACTGTTATCAGTTAAAGAAATATTGAACAAGAGCAGTTTTTATGAATGCCTTTTTACAAATTAGGGCCATTTAATGATGACTTAAAATGAAACACAGGATGTTCCCAAACAATGCTGACTCTTGAAAGTCAAAGAGCTGATAAGACGTGTATCATGTGTGTTCCATGTGGTTATATTGAAGGATACGGATTTCATTGTCCCGCTGCGTTAGCATCTCTGCTAACCGCCGACTCTCCTCAGCGTCACCCTTCATGGTTTCTGCTGTGATTATCTGATCAGGCGACGTGGCTCCTCTACTCGGCTTCTCCAGAATCATCCTCTAGACAAAGAACACACATTTAACACACACAAAAATACAGCCGTCCACAGTAAGTAAGAAAGTAAGTAAAGTTAATTATTTATTGCTGGTTGTAGCGTCACACAGCAGCGCAAAACTCCCCTTTAAGAACAATGTAAATATTCACTGATTCAAGATGGCGCCGTGTCATGGCGCCGCAGTGAGAGCTCTAGTGTGCACAATCTGTGTTTTGTTGCTGTTTGTCTTTGAGTCATTTGCCACTGTGAAGTATGACCGAGAGGCGCTTCTTAACATTCGGGACCTTGCGTGTGACGGGTCACTCGTACTACCCAAACTGAGGTGCACAAACTTCCTAAAGTGTCCCACTCGAGAGGCCCGTGGAGCACAGCAGGCGGGCCGCGGCGGTGGCCGCCAACAGAGCGATGGGACCGGGCGTCTCCGGCGTTCTCTCCGTGGTGTGGAGCTGGGCACCTCGAGTCGGCGAAGGAGGCGCAGACACCGGGGAAGGCGAGGCGGTCTGCTCGTTCGTAGCCGCTCCTCCAGGACCCCTTTGCCCTCCATCTACCTGGCCAACGTCCAGTCTCTGCCCAACAAGACGGACGAGCTCCTGTGTCGGGTCCAGAGCCAGCGCGAGGCCCGGGACTGTGTTCTGCCTCAGCGAGACGTGGCTCCACTCGAACGTCCCGGACTCTGCTGTTCAGCCCCCGGGATTCACCGCTCACCGCTCGGACAGAGTGAAGGAGACCACGGGCAAGGCCAGAGGCGGAGGTGTGTGCTTTTTAATTAATCAGCGCTGGTGCACGGACACTCGAGTCGTGAACCAAACATGTACTGCCAATCTGGAATGCCTGGTCTTGAGCTGTCGCCCTTTTTATCTTCCCCGTGAGTTTTCAGTGATATTTGTATGTGCTGTTTACATTCACTCACGTGCGGATTACAAAGTAGCCCTACAGGATCTGAGCGAGATCCTTCACAAACATGAGTCTGCTCATCCTAACGCAGTCATCATTGTTGCTGGGATTTCAATAAATGTGATTTAAAGACTGTACTCCCGAACTTTTACCAACATGTGACTCGAGCTACAAGAGGAGCACATGTTCTGGATCACTGCTACAGTAACGTGAAGGGAGCTTACAGGTCCAGTCTCAGACCTCCTTTTGGAACGTCTGACCACTCCTCTGTTCTCCTTCTTCCTTCGTATACTCAGAGGAGCAGGGAACATAAACCAACCTCTCGCACTGTGCAGTGTTGGTCTGAGGAGGCTAGCATGAAGCTACAAGGTTGTTTTGATGCTACGGACTGGTCTGTGTTTCAGTCAGAGGACGTCAGTGAATTCTGTGACGCTGTGTCTGGATACATACGCTTCTGTATTGACTGCTGTGTCCCACAGAAGGTCATTAAAGAACATTTTAGTCAAAACCCTTGGATGAACGCGGAAGTGAAACTGAAACTTCATGAGCGTGCGTTGGCGTTTCAATCAAATGATACAGTTGCTTATAAGCTATCCTGTTACTCATTGAAACGTTCTATTAAATCTGCAAAGTGCAGTTACGGGGATAGGTTAAAGAGTTATTTTGAGGAAGATGACCCTCGGCGCATGTGGAACGGTATTAAAGCCATCACATCGTGGAAACCTAGCGCTGGGAAAACTGCATCTGTCGACCAAGCTCTGCCAAACGATCTGAACACGTTCTACTGTCGCTTTGAATCCACTGATGCCTGTCCTACTGTATTCCCTGAGTGTTTCAATCAAGGTACCTTCACCGTGACTCAGGAGGAAGTCAGGCGTGTCTTGTCCAGGACCACAGTCCGGAAAGCCCCAGGCCCGGACGGCATCCCTCCTCGTGTCCTGAAACTGTGCTCTGAGCAACTTGCTCCTGTGCTAACAGACATTTTCAACCTGTCGCTAAGGAACTGTACTGTGCCGAACTGCTTTAAAGAGTCGACCATCATTCCAGTTCCTAAGAAAACTCCTGTGACATGCCTGAATGACTATCGTCCTGTGGCCCTCACGTCTGTTCTTATGAAAACTTTTTAGCGGCTTGTGCTGGACTTCATTAAGAGCCAGATCCCTGTGAGTGTTGACCCGCTCCAGTTTGCTACAGACAGAACAGGAGTGTGGAGGATGCATCTCCTTTGCTCTGAACTCTGTCTACAGTCACTTGGACACTAGTAAATCTGTGGCCAGAATGCTTTTCGTCGATTATAGCTCTGCTTTTAACTGCCTTGTCCCAGGTAAACTGATTGAAAAGCTCATGTCTCTGGGTTTAAGTGTTGCCATGTGTAAATGGATTTTTATCTTTTTAACTGACAGATCTCAGAGAGTGAAAATCAATGAGTGTTTTTCTGATGTTGTTTCTGTGAGCACTGGTCTCCTCAGGGATGTATTTTGAGTCCTTTGCTCTTTACTTTGTACACTCACGATTGTGTGTCCTCCTCTGACTCAAACTTGATCATCAAATATGCTGATGACACCACCATCATCGGTCTCATCAGTGACACTGATGAATCCTCTTATAGAGCAGAGATACAAAATGTGGTTCAGTGGAGTCAAACTAACAACCTCCAGTTGAACGCATCCAAAACATGTGAACTGGTCTACGACTTCAGTCGCAATAGTTCTCATTTGCCTGTCGTAATCGACAACTCCCAGGTGCAGATCGTAGAGGAGCAAGTTTCTGGGTTTAACTCTGTCTAACCTGAAATGGGTTAAAAACACTGACCGAGTCGTTAAGAAAGCTCGTCAGCGTCTCTACTTTCTGCGTAAACTTAGAGAATTTACCACTAACTCTAAGATTGTGCTTAACTTTTATGGCTGTACCATTGAGAGTTTACTTGTTGGTTCTGTGTCTGTGTGGTTTGGAAACATCACAGATAAAGAAAAGAGAGCTTTAAACAAGGTGCTCCGCTCTGCAAAGAGGACCGTGGGCTGTGAGCTTCCTGTTCTGGAGGTTCTTTATAAATCCACACTTTTAAACAAAGCTCTTAGGATTGTTAATGACTCTTCTGGCCACCCTGGGAAAGCCATGTTCCAGCTTCTTCCCTCTGGTAGAAGATATCGCTCTCTGAGATGCAGGACATCTCGTTACGCTAACAGTTTTTATCCACAGGCTGTTATCAGTGTGAACAGAGCACTTTAATGATTTGCACTTGTTTTGAACTGTTTTAGTCGATCCATTTCACAGTGACATTTGTTTACTGTTTTATTTGTTTTATTTCTGTCTTTTAATGTTGTTTTATGTCTGTATTTGTCTGTGCACACTGGAGACTTTTGCTAATGTATTCCAATGTGGTGTTTTTACTGCAAATGGCAAATAAAATGAATCTGAATCTGAATCTGATTCAGAGTCAAAATGCTCTTTTTCTGTGGCATGTGCAGTTCTGGCAACTGCTCGAATCAACTGGAGAACTTATGGAGTCTCTATTTTGCTAATATATATTTCTCTAACGGATGTCTGTTTTTAGGAAACTGCCTAATAAGGAACGGAAGAAATATGTTAGCATTAGCCAGTGTAGGTGTTGGTTATAGATTTGTTGTTGAAAAAACTCTTGTCTATTCAGCTGTTATGGTCCCAGCTGGATTCGGCTGCATATCTGGCAACCTGAGTCAGGGAGAGTGGGAGAGGCTGCAGTACCACTTTTGACCACATTTTTACAAACTGCTCCTTTAAGAAGCTTGCTGTTTGACGGAATAAGAAAGACTGTTTGCAAACAATAGAATGAAGGATCAAAATGTAAAACAGACGTGAATTCCTGCAGATCCTGAGTGTGACTGGGTTGATGCTGAAGGGAATGTAAACCAAACTGCCGATAGAGCTGGTGGAACTTAACAAACTCACGGAAAGATAAACAGAGGGATTTAGATCATCCTTCTGTTGGCTGCTCCTCTTCAAACTAAATGACTGTATTGTCTTTTTTCTAAACAATAAGTAGAAAAAGAATCATTTGCAGCTGTCTGACGATGGCTTTGTCTTTCACAATAATAGCACAAGTTGACAGCCAAAAAATGGTCAGGGGTTTCTCAGCTGATTCAGACTAATGTTGGTGTTCTGAGTCTGAATATCACATGCATTTGTCTCTATCAGGTCAACTGTGTGAGATACAGCCATAGTGTTACGGATTATGTACGTCTACGTTATTAGGAATTCTGCTTATCAAATCTGATGGAGTAAATAAAAACTGAATGACTTTGGATACGTTGACTTTTATTTCTTGAGGAAAACGGAAAAAACATCAAGGGTTTCTCAGCTGATGATCCGCAGAAATTAGTTTTTTAAGCAAAATCTATTTAAAAAAAATATTTCTGTAGCAAAAAATCCTGACCTGATTGAGCAAAACCAACGTCATTTTCAGACTCAGAGCCGCAACATTAGATTCAGCTGAAAACCCTGGACTATTTTCAAATAATATTTTTTTGTTACCCAGTGTAGTAATACTGTGGTCGGGAATATCAAGCAAACATAAATACATCATAAAATAATATTGAAATAGATTGCAATATAAACTCAGTATTTATCGTTATCAGTAAAACTTTATCTTCTTTAGTATTTACATATTTTTTCTAATTGAATTTGTTTTGTGAAAGTTCAAAGCTTTTTTCAAATGAAAAGTGTTTTGTGCTGAGTCTCCCGCTCGCCTTTGAAGCTAAGAAGCCAACAGTCAGTCAACATCACACTTTGTCCCTAATTAAACGGCAAATAACTCAAATATATCTACGTATAGACGGGCTGGCTGTGGGAAAAGTAAGCCCTGGACACAAGTGGGGATATTAAAACTCAATGTGGAGAAATTATGTTTATGGAAGACCCACGATAGGTCTCTGATAATAATCTTTTACATTGAATGAACAAACATGCATTCTTCAATTCCAAATAATAATCTTTTTTTTTTTTTATCGTCGGAACGTTTTGATTTGTGTGACGTTTTTTGTCTGTATGACTTTAAAGCATGTTGAAATGTAATCCAGATGCATCCTCGCTTCAATAAACGTCTGAACTGCTCAGAGCCTTTGTTTATTAACTGATAAACCAGCGACATATTAGCCTGGTCTTACCATGTGTAAACTCTGGTCCATGATCATCTCCTACATGTACGTCTGGTCTTACCATGTGTAAACTCTGGTCCATGATCATCTCCTACATGTACGTCTGGTCTTACCATGTGTAAACTCTGGTCCATGATCATCTCCTACATGTACGTCTGGTCTTACCATGTGTAAACTCTGGTCCATGATCATCTCCTACATGTACGTCTGGTCTTACCATGTGTAAACTCTGGTCCATGATCATTTCCTACATGTACGTCTGGTCTTACCATGTGTAAACTCTGGTCCATGATCATTTCCTACATGTACGTCTGGTCTTACCATGTGTAAACTCTGGTCCATGATCATTTCCTACATGTACGTCTGGTCTTACCATGTGTAAACTCTGGTCCATGATCATCTCCTACATGTACGTCTGGTCTTACTATGTGTAAACTCTGGTCCATGATCATCTCCTACATGTACGTCTGGTCTTACCATGTGTAAACTCTGGTCCATGATCATCAGCTGTAAAAACTAGTACACTACCTTCAGTCGAGAAAAGCAGTATTGAATTTTTCTCATGTCTGGCCCCAAATCCAGAGTCACTTCAGGATCACGATCGTCCAAATACGACCTGAGCAAGACTTCTAACCTGCACACAGACACAATGGTTGGTGTTTTTAATTCAGCGCTCGAGGCTAAAGCTTTGTCTAAGACCAACTGCACAATCTATTTTTACAAAATTGCTTCTTTATTCTCATGATTTGGGACTCTGAGGAGCACAGGGACTGGCCTCCTGCTGGGACTCTGACTGCTAATTTACACATGAGGCGTTACAGCACGTACGCGTTATACGCGCAGCAGACGCGCGTAACTTTTTTCCATGTTAACCTATGATGATATTTACACTTCTAGCGTTATACGCGCTATGACGGACATGTGACGCGAAGCTGCGCTCTAATTTAGGATGGATTTCTAATTTTGTGCGCGCACCAACGCGTCTCCCATTGAAATCTCATGTAAAACATGATTTTTCTAGCGGCCCTTGGCTTTAGATCACATCTACACACACACTGCACTTGTGTCCAAACATCAGCAGGAGGAGCAGCAGGTTTTACAGTGATTCTGGACATTTTTTCTTTCTTTCATAAAGTCTCACGTCTGGCCAAACCAGCGCACAGAGACCATGAAGACAAACACATGCATGTGATTTGTGTTGCTCTACATCAGTGCTCTGGCCCGTACTGTCCTCTACACTGCTCCATAGACTACACAGGGAGAGCATCAGAAGACGCGGACCTGCGCGCACGGCCTGTGTAGATACTCCAAAAAAATGTTACGCGCAGAGAGCACGCAGTAAACGCGTACGTGCTGTTTTCGCCTACTGTGTAAATTAGCAGTGAGGAGCACAGGGACTGGCCTCCTGCTGGGACTCTGAGGAGCACAGGGACTGGCCTCCTGCTGGGACTCTGAGGAGCACAGGGACTGGCCTCCTGCTGGGACTCTGAGGAGCACAGGGACTGGCCTCCTGCTGGGACTCTGAGGAGCACAGGGACTGGCCTCCTGCTGGGACTCTGAGGAGCACAGGGACTGGCCTCCTGCTGGGACTCTGAGGAGCACAGGGACTGGCCTCCTGCTGGGACTCTGAGGAGCACAGGGACTGGCCTCCTGCTGGTCCCAGAGTCAGGACTAAACATGGGGAGGCTGCATTTCAGATTCATGCTAAAATCTGGAACAATCTTTGACAAAGTGTAAGACAGGCTTCTTCTCTGACGATGTTTAAATCCCGGTTAAAAACGGTTCCAAGGGATTTTATATTTTTATTATCTCTCTTTGGAATTTACTGTGACCATTTATGATTTTATCGCCTTGTGTGACTGTTTCTTTCTTGTTTTGTTCAGCACTTTGAGTTTCCTTGTGTATGAACTGTGCTATACCCATGTGGGTAGAGCAGTTGCAAAGGGGTCCTCTCTCTCAAACCTCTCTGAACTTTCTGCAATGTTAAGACGCTCCCAAATCAAACAATATATATATAACGAATACTCATGAATGGTCTGAGATGAAAGGCTGAGGTCGAAGTCGTTTCTCATTCATAAAAACAGCAGTTCTAAAGTGGCTGCTGTGAGATATTCTAGGATCAGTGAGTTACTTGTTTATCTCGTCCTCTGTGAGCTGGTCCTCTCTCTGCACCCCGGTCAGCATGGACAACTCCTCCTTCAGTGACTGGACTTCCATTTTCAGACGGGCTATTAGCTGCGAAACACACACAGCAGAATAAACAATGTGTCATGGGTTTGTCAAAGTTGATCTGTTTGAAAAGTTAGTCTTGATTGATGTCGTCTCTGTCTTGTAGTTTTTTCATGTTAATGTATTTTTATGTATTTTAAAGGCTTTTTAACATCACGGCCACAGGACTGCAGATGAGAAATAGCCTCTTTGCCAATTATGTCTTTTTTTAAGATTAATTATAAAAGTTTTACATTTGGGAAAACACTCATAATCATGTGTTTTATTATATTTCATTGTCCCCTTTGTAATAAATTTAACAGAAACTGAATACAAGCAGTTGCAGATGATTGCAGTATTTACTTATTTACAGAAATGTACAGGCTCAGCAGTTCTCATTGTACAGTCTGACAGCAGCAGGAAGGAAAGGGAATTATAAATACTAAAAGGCAAACTATTTTCTACTACTATTTTTGCAGCCACACTCACGGCTCCGTCACAGTGACCAGTCTGAAAGGCAAACCTGGAGCAGCACAAACACGACACTGGGCTGTGACTAAGCAGAGATTCTGGTGACACCGGGACGTCAGGGAGACAACTGTCTGCATGAACCCAACCAGGGCCAAAGGTCACATTTTCATTTCTTCCAAAATGTCAAAAAGTGTGTTTTCTGTTTTCTTTGTCTCGTAAAAAATGAACCTGAGACCTGCCTGACATTAGACTCTATATTGAACTCTTTAAATTAAAAAGGTCCTTCCTAAGCTGAATCCCATCTCTAACGTGTTCAGAAAAACCACCCACGGTAAACTCCAGGCCTCAGTTTGTAACCACAGGGTCTAAAACTCTTTAGGTTCTATGTCCCTCAGACCTGCTGGTATTATGGGGCCCCTTTTATGATGGAAGGAGATGCATGGTGTTTTTCCACTACACCTAACTATGAGCTGTAGAGTAGTCCCTTTCACTAAACGAGAGCATATGAGATGTACGACAAGTGTGGTCTAACACTGGTGACCAGAGCAAAACATGTACCAGACTTTCCCCTGACTCTGGGAATACATGTAAACACACAACTTCTTATAAAAAATGACGAGAAATCTACTTTGAATGAACATCATGAGTCCCTCCAGTCTTTCCCAAGGCATCATTTTAATTTTCACATATACGGTACATCTTGTCACTCTCCAGGGCAGAGGTTTTTAGAGATTAATGACAGCAATATCTTATGAACATAATAACAATTATGACACTCAAAGAAACTTCACATGTCATTATTCTTTCACTCTATAAATGGAGATGATAAACTGCCTCCGACCACCACCAACCGTTACTTGGTTATACTTTACAGCCACAGCCGCCCCACTTGAGTGACCTTATAGTTACCAGTGATCTCCAATAAGCTACACCCCCTTACATCCTTCCATCCAAACCATCCCTACAATTCACCTACCCTATATCCCAAACCCCCCCAAAAAACCAACAACACCAACAAAACAAAAAAACACCACAACTATATACCAACAAAACCACCCAAAAACAAACACACACACCCCCACCCCCCCCCCCCCCCCACCACCCCAACCCCCCCAACCCCCCCCCCCCCCGGCCCCACTGAGGTGGAAAAGAGAAGGGTGGGAAAGGATGGGGGGGACCTAGTGTTCCCAGAGGTCTCCCATTAGAGTACTAACCAAGGTCTGACAGGAACTGACTTTCACCTGCAAGTATGGACTAAGTCAAAGGTGTGAATCCCACTTTACAAATAACCAGCCCCCTGTGGTATGACTGCTGTTCTGCCCTGGTTAGGGCCTGGTCAGTCTGTGATGGGAGACCTCTGGGAACTGCAGGTGCCACAGTGGGGCGGCTGCGGCTGTAAAGTGCCAAACAAAAAGACACTTCCCCCACATTAGAATGGGTCTGGTGTGTGTGTGAATGGTTGGTGGTGGTGGGAGGGGCCGATGGCACAGACTGGTTGCCTCGCTTCTGTCAGTGTGCCCCAGGGCAGCTGTGGCTACAGTAGTAGTTTATCTCCACCGTGTTTGGAGTAAAGCGTCTTTGAGAGTTCTGAAAAGCACTGTATAAAACCAATGCATTATTATCATTATGGTTTGTAACATAACATATCAGCTGTGACGTAACAAAAAGTGCAGAAGTTCAATCTGTATAAACACTTTTGCAAATAAATAACATTTTACCATTTGCTTCATTGTCATAAACCAACACCAGAAGTTTGTGTTTGGACTTGCCTATAAACTAAAGCGAGCCGGACCCAATAGAGAGGCAGACACCATCACAATTACCCGGCTTGCCGCAGACTCTCTTAAAAATACCTCTCCCGGGTTTGGAAGTGGCCAGCCAAGCAGCAGCAGCAGCAGCAGCAGCAGTAATACAGTAGCAGTTGATCCCCTGGCACATCTGGGTGGGAGGCCAAGAAGCAAAACTAGAGGTGACTCATGATAGCTCATAAAATACATCCCATAGAGTTTGGATTCTGTACCGTTCAAAAGATAAACTCCATACGCATCTACTCTCTATTGAAAACTATGTGAAGTCTTGATACTGTATGTGAAGATTGTGGTCATTGCACACTGAAAGCTTGTCCACGTCAATTGGCAGCTGGAAACACTTATCAAGAGGCTTTGGAGAGTTAGGATAAAACATGTCAGAGGATTGTAAACAGACGAGTGAATGCAAACATGGCCGAGGAACAACCAAAACACAGCCACACACGCACATGGAGAGCAGCACATTTATGCAGAATAAACACAAACTTAAAGGTTCACCATTCATACCCGCTTCAATCAGTAGCTTCACAAATTCTACATTTTGTTCTGGGGTTTAATTGCACTTTTTAAATCTCTAGAGCGACAGTTTTGTTTATAATTGAGTAAAACTGCTGACCGAAACTTTGAACCTGGAACGTTTATGCATGTAGTTCTGATTATGACTGGTCATGGGGAGGCTGCTTTTCAGATTCATGCTGCTAAAATCTGGAACAATCTTCCTGAAGATGTGAGACAGGCCTCCCTGACAATGTTTAAAACCAGGTTAAAAACGGTTCTGTTTAGCTGTGCTACAACTGAGGGATTTTATGTTTCTATCTTTCTTTTTAATGTTCTGTGATTATTTATGCTAATGCTATCTTGTTCAGCACTTTGAATTGCCTTGTGTATGAATTGTGCTATACAAATAAACTTGCCTTGCCTTGCCTTGTCTATGATGTCAAACAATAAAGCGGTTTATTATTATAAAGCGGCTGATAAAAGTGTCTCCACTTTTATCAGCTAATCTTCCCCTGACTTGATTATTTGTTGAAATGCAGAGTCATCTTTTGACACACACAAGTCTGAAGCTCACCAAAGCAGGGTCCAGTTCCTCATTTAAGATTGCTTCATTTTTGATGAGAGCCACACGTTGTGCAAAGCGACAGGTGGAGATGGACTCCTAAAGACACAAGTTTCTGTCAGTTTCTGTCCATATTATGTAATAAAGTATAAAACATGAAACCATTTACATCGAGGTTTCTCTTGTCCACTGCCATCGTTGCAATCATTGTGGTCATACAGTTTCCCCCAAGACTGTCTCTCAGCACAGACGTCAACATGGAGTTCCTGTAGGGAATGTGTGACCTGTTCTTCTCTGATAAAGCTATGATAACCTGTCATATATATTATATTAAAACATTTGTGATAATTATACATAAGTATGTGAAGATGAATGTGTACCTGTTCCAGGAAGTGCAGGGACAGGTTGATATACTTGGCTTCTTTGAGAAGCTGTCCATTTAGACCGGTCTTGTAAACTCGGTCAGATCCTGCCAGGTCCACCAGGTGGAGCTTGGATCGCCGGACTGTGGCTGAGCCTGGCTCCCGGCTGCACAAGTGCACGGTGAAAATACAGTGTGAACGTGTAGAGGCCTGGTTTGTGGGCGTCTAAACAAAAGAAGACTCATTAACTTGCGTAATATACTTTTATAAATCATACAATTCTATCAGACTTTGAGATCGCTGAGAGGTGTGTGAAGTGTGTTCTCAGAGTTTTCTGTCCTCACAAACTGATCCTGCACCACATTCTGACCACACAGACCACTATCACGCTTCATACGTTTTTCAGAAAATTCCTAAATTGTCGTGAAACTTTAAAAAACAGTAGTTTTATAATGTGCTTAAAGCAGAAAACATCTGACTTTGTGACAGGTGCAGCCCTCGCACACAGCAAAGCTAACTTTGAAACTTGAAAACGTTGCTCATCTGTAAATAAAAACACGGTGTACACAGGTACAGGGTGTTTCCTTTCAAAGGTTTATAATAAATACATTTAGAAAAGACAGAACAGTCCATTCACAAACTCTTACTTCTGCAATCATTCGATTGGTGTCTCCCAGAAATAACAGATTCAAAGCATCTTCCTCATTGGTCGACTGGAGAATGGACAGATTTTTCAGATGCACATTCTGGTCCGTATCTTCCTGAATTGAAACTTTTCTAAAATAAAACACATTTGCAACAATACAACAAATTATCAGTCTCTGATGTAACCCATTTTACTATTGCATATTGCAAGGCTCACTTAAAGAAACAGTGTGGCCTATAATTTAGATACTACTTTTATGTAGTTTTTAGTCTAGGGGAGATACTATTTAGATTGTAAAACTGGACTGCATGACTAAAGTATAATATCTACATTTTAGGTTAAAATGCTAAATTAATAAAAAGACATCCTAAAGTTATTATTGTAATGTCCAAGGCCTGGCTTCAGGACCGTATCCTGTCCCCACGGCCTCGGTTTCTTTGGACAAAGGCTCCACCCTGAGCTCTTGGGATCTCATTTTATCCAAATCCCGCATTACCTTTTTATGTTGCTGACTAACGAGCCAACAAACAAAAACAATAGTGAGTTCACCAAATCAAATCATAAGGAACAGGCTTCTTATTACTTACGGCAGGTCTTCTAATCGAGACATGTCCTGTCGGGTTTCCAGCAGATCGTATCCAGTGTCATTATAGATCTCTAAGTAAGACACATGGGTCGTGTAAACCATTCCACTTTCCTATCAAAAAGCAAAACATTGTAATCCAATGTAGACCAGAAATACTATCAATCAATCAATCCAGCCAAAGTTGTGTACGGACTGGTCACTGGCCTTACCTGGCTGAAGTGTTCATACAGATATGACAGAGTACGGGGAATGATACCACGGTCACTGTAGTGCTCTGCCCCTCCTGTTATGGTGAATGTTTTTCCACTTCCTGTTTGGCCATAGGCGAAAATGGTGCCATTGTATCCAGCCAGAACACTGTACACCAAATAATAACAAACTTCATTGTTGTTGTTGTTGTGCTATATTCTTACAGGGATAATGTGTTATTCTCACGAATCATGAGACAGAAAAGGAAAAGGTGTTAAGTACCAGAACTTGTGCCGTGTGCTCCTCTTTCCTACTGTTCTATAACTTGTGATGCAACACTGAAATTCCCCCACAGTGGTACGAATAAAAGATCTCTTAATCTCATAATCTTATTTCAGGGAACATAAAAATACCTGTATAATTACGATCGATCCATATGAGGAGAGAGATCTTTTTTCTACCAGCAGAGAGATCCCCCAGCAGAGCGAACATAATAAGTAGTAATTACATAAGAACCATCAGTCTTTCTCTTTTTCAACACGTGTTCTGCCCACGGCTCTCCTCGATATCACCATCAGTCTAAGTGAGTGCCAAAGCCGTCTGACATGTCCCAAACCATTCAAAGCTCAGCAGTTTGACTGAATTGAACCTGACACCAAAAACCTGCAGGAAAACATTGGAGTGAGGAGAGCTGCTGTGGCGGCAGACATCTGCCCGTGAAAGAGTGTCTCTCTCTGAGCACGATTGAAGGAACGGGCCCAAACCCGCTCAACCAGACACCACATGGTAAGTTTGGTTTGGCATCATCAGTTAGGAACAAGCCTGGCCTGGTTTTGGTATACTTAAAAAACATATAGTACCTGTAAATCTTGCCGTCACTTTTGAAAAGGAAAGAGCTGATGCCTATTGTTATATTCAATTTCACACTGGCTTCATTCTATTATCTACTGAAGATCTTGATGTCCCAGAAATGAAATGGATAAAAAACATGTAAGATAGCCTGCAATATTACCCTTTGATATTAAAAGTATGGCTTAACTACACTAGTATGTAGTACTTTACAGCCGATAGTGTTGAAGTGCTAGTGTAGTTCATATCACTAGGCTGGCTGTACTTTCCTGAAGCTATTAATGTTGGTTTGTTTCTGAAGTACTGAGTTGGGATTGCAATGATTGGTTTGGGTTACACCACAGACAGAGACTGATGAGTAAACGTGGTCATGCTTCTGGTTAGACTAACAGGGAGCCGAGCATCAAGAGCAAAGAAAACACCCAGACAGTATTGGCTGAGACCCTGAGCCAGGCAACCATCAGGCTATAACCTTTTTATATCAACATTTTTATACAAACTGTCAACAGCTACGCCCTGTCAGTGATCAAATACCCTGCAGCAATAACAAGATGGCGGAAGGAAGAGATTCAGACACAGATGTTAAAACTCGAAAGCTCCTCCTCATGGCAGAGTCCATCCCAAACCCAGCACTTTAACATTCACTTTAAATCTGTATGCAAGAAGAAGGAACTATACGACCGAGCCTTCGCTGGAGCTGCCCCCACTCTCTGGAACTCACTCCCTCAACCCGTCAGAAACTCAGACTCACTACAGAACTTTAAATCTCTCCTAAAAACCCACCTGTTTCCTTTCCTTAATTTTGTTTTTCAATGTTTATTTCTACGTGTTTTGTAAAGCGTCTTTGAGTGTCCAAAAAAACGCTATATAAGTTTGATGCATTATTATTGATTGACTGCGGAACCTTCCGCAGTCAACCATTGGTTTTGTATTTCTTTATTCCGTCATTTTTTTTGACACGTTTCACAGCTTTCACATTTTCAACAATTTCCACAAGTTATACATCAAAACGTTCCACATGTTTGGGAGATTATTGCTATTACTTTTGGGACTTCAGCGATTTCCGGTTTTTCCGCAATCGGACAAAAATCTGCATTGAGAATTCTGCAATGCATTTTAATAGGCCCATGCATTTTAATAGGACTTCAGCTCTTTCAGACATTTCTACAGTTTCAATGATTCAACAGTTTCAATGATTCAACAGTTTCAAGGACTTCAGCAGTTTCAAGGTTTCAAGAGTTTCAAGGACTTCAACAGTTTCAAGGACTTCAACAGTTTCAAGGACTTCAGTGTAATCATGCAACCTAATAGGGATTTTTCCATGTAAACCAGTATAATGCAACTTAATAGGGGTTTTTACATGTAAACCAGTATAATGCAACTTAATGGGGATTTTTCCATGTAAACCAGTATAATGCAACTTAATAGGGGTTTTTACATGTAAACCAGTATAATGCAACTTAATAGGGTTTTTTCCATGTAAACCAGTATAATGCAACTTAATAGGGATTTTTCCATGTAAACCAGTATAATGCAACTTAATAGGGTTTTTTTCATGTAAACCAGTATAATGCAACTTAATGGGGATTTTTCCATGTAAACCAGTATAATGCAACTTAATATGGGTTTTTACATGTAAACCAGTATAATGCAACTTAATAGGGTTTTTTTTTTACATGTAAACCAGTATAATGGAACTTAATAGGGTTTTTTACATGTAAACCAGTATAATGGAACTTAATAGGGGTTTTTACATGTAAACCAGTATAATGGAACTTAATAGGGGTTTTTACATGTAAACCAGTATAATGCAACTTAATAGGGATTTTTACATGTAAACCAGTATAATGCAACTTAATAGGGATTTTTCCATGTAAACCAGTATAATGGAACTTAATAGGGGTTTTTACATGTAAACCAGTATAATGCAACTTAATAGGGATTTTTACATGTAAACCAGTATAATGCAACTTAATAGGGATTTTTCCATGTAAACCAGTATAATGCAACTTAATAGGGTTTTTTACATGTAAACCAGTATAATGCAACTTAATGGGGATTTTTCCATGTAAACCAGTATAATGCAACTTAATAGGGGTTTTTACATGTAAACCAGTATAATGCAACTTAATAGGGTTTTTTACATGTAAACCAGTATAATGCAACTTAATGGGGATTTTTCCATGTAAACCAGTATAATGCAACTTAATAGGGGTTTTTACATGTAAACCAGTATAAAGGATAACAGTTTAAAGGATATCAGGAGCTTCAAATACTTCAGGAGTTTCAAAGATGTTTAAAGTATTTTAACAGTTTCAAGGATTTCAAGGATTTTTCAGCTAAATTCCACATTAGATCTGTTCCGCAGTCAATCGCAATGGCTTCAGCCATTGCAAGTTTCTAGTTATTATTGATTGACTGCGGAACCTTCCGCAGTCAACCATTGGTTTTGTATTTCTTTATTCCGTCATTTTTTTTGACACGTTTCACAGCTTTCACATTTTCAACAATTTCCACAAGTTATACATCAAAACGTTCCACATGTTTGGGAGATTATTGCTATTACTTTTGGGACTTCAGCGATTTCCGGTTTTTCCGCAATCGGACAAAAATCTGCATTGAGAATTCTGCAATGCATTTTAATAGGCCCATGCATTTTAATAGGACTTCAGCTCTTTCAGACATTTCTACAGTTTCAATGATTCAACAGTTTCAAGGATTCAACAGTTTCAAGGATTTCAGCAGTTTCAAGATTTCAAGAGTTTCAAGGACTTCAGCAGTTTCAAGGACTTCAGCAGTTTCAAGGACTTCAGTGTAATCATGCAACCTAATAGGGATTTTTCCATGTAAACCAGTATAATGCAACTTAATAGGGATTTTTCCATGTAAACCAGTATAATGCAACTTAATAGGGTTTTTTCATGTAAACCAGTATAATGCAACTTAATAGGGTTTTTTTTCATGTAAACCAGTATAATGCAACTTAATGGGGATTTTTCCATGTAAACCAGTATAATGCAACTTAATAGGGGTTTTTACATGTAAACCAGTATAATGCAACTTAATAGGGTTTTTTCCATGTAAACCAGTATAATGCAACTTAATAGGGTTTTTTTCCATGTAAACCAGTATAATGCAACTTAATAGGGTTTTTTCCATGTAAACCAGTACAATGCAACTTAATAGGGATTTTTCCATGTAAACCAGTATAATGCAACTTAATAGGGTTTTTTACATGTAAACCAGTATAATGCAACTTAATGGGGATTTTTCCATGTAAACCAGTATTATGCAACTTAATAGGGATTTTTCCATGTAAACCAGTATAATGCAACTTAATAGGGATTTTTCCTTGTAAACCAGTATAATGCAACTTAATAGGGTTTTTTTCATGTAAACCAGTATAATGCAACTTAATGGGGATTTTTCCATGTAAACCAGTATTATGCAACTTAATAGGGATTTTTCCATGTAAACCAGTATAATGCAACTTAATAGGGTTTTTACATGTAAACCAGTATAATGGAACTTAATAGGGGTTTTTACATGTAAACCAGTATAATGGAACTTAATAGGGGTTTTTACATGTAAACCAGTATAATGCAACTTAATAAGGATTTTTACATGTAAACCACTATAATGTAACCTAATAGGGGTTTTTACATGTAAACCAGTATAAAGCAACTTAATAGGGATTTGTACATGTAAACCAGTATAATGCAACCTAATAGGGATTTTTCCATGTAAACCAGTATAATGCAACTTAATAGAGATTTTTCCATGTAAACCAGTATAATGCAACTTAATAGGGATTTTTCCATGTAAACCAGTATAATGCAACCTAATAGGGATTTTTCCATGTAAACCAGTATAATGCAACCTAATAGGGATTTTTCCATGTAAACCAGTATAATGCAACCTAATAGGTTGCATTATACCACCAGACCAAGACCCAAACGAAGACTCAGACCACCACCAGATAATGACCACAGACCAGGTTTCCTTAGTTACAGGAACCAAATTGTTTCAGCGGTGAGGGGATTTTTCAGTTTCAAGGACACTTTCAATACATTCAGTAGTTTCAAGGATTTCAACTGTTTAAGAATTTAACCAGTTTCAAGGATATCAGGAGGTTCAAGGATTTCAGGAGTTTCCACACTTTCAACAGTTTCCAGGTTTAAAAAAAGTTTCAAGGATTTCAGGAGTTTCAATGTTTCAACAGTTTCAAGGATTTCAGGAGTTTAAAGGTTTCAACAATTTCAAGGACTTCAGGAGTTTCAAATATCTATCAAGTATTTTAACAGTTTCAAGGCCTTTTAAAGGATTTCAAGGATTTTTTTTTAGCAGATTTCCACATTAGATCTGTTCCGCAGTCAATCGCAATGGCTTCAGCCATTGCAAGTTTCTAGTTATTATTATACTTCATTACTCCTTAAATATGCTCAATACAGTACATTACTCAAGTGTCAACTCATAAATGTAGAATAACTATAACAAAGAGAAAGGACACGTTTTACCTGTCTGCCACTGGTTTAGCGATGTTCTCAAAGATGTCCTCTTGCTTTGCTCCTTGATCAAAAATCTTCTGAAATCTAAACACAGTGAAAATAACAATTACACTGTACAGTATGTGAAACAGAATTATTATCATTTGTGGATTTCTTTCTAAAAACAATACATTTTGCACCAATATGTGTGTGTGTGGGATAGTAGTAAGTAGTGACAAGGGTAAAAATACAGAAAATAGTCACTGTGAAATGGATCAAACTAAAATAGTTCCAAAACATGTGCAATAATTAAAGTGATGTCTTTAAATGAATAACAGCTGAAAGAAGCTGATGGCAAAACCACATGTTCTGCATCTCAGAGAACAATGTCTTCTGGTCTCTCTCTGGTCTCTCTCTCTGGTCTCTCTCTCTGGTCTCTCTCTCTGGTCTCTCTCTCTGGTCTCTCTCTCTGGTCTCTCTCTCTGGTCTCTCTCTCTGGTCTCTCTCTCTGGTCTCTCTCTCTGGTCTCTCTCTCTGGTCTCTCTCTCTGGTCTCTCTCTCTGGTCTCTCTCTCTCTGGTCTCTCCCTCTGGTCTCTCTCTCTGGTCTCTCTCTCTCTGGTCTCTCTCTCTGGTCTCTCTCTCTGGTCTCTCTCTCTCTGGTCTCTCTCTCTCTGGTCTCTCTCTCTGGTCTCTCCCTCTGGTCTCTCCCTCTGGTCTCTCCCTCTGGTCTCTCCCTCTGGTCTCTCTCTCTGGTCTCTCTCTCTGGTCTCTCTCTCTGGTCTCTCTCTCTGGTCTCTCTCTCTCTGTTCTCTCTCTCTGGTCTCTCTCTCTGGTCTCTCTCTCTGGTCTCTCTCTCTCTGGTCTCTCTCTCTCTGGTCTCTCTCTCTGGTCTCTCTCTCTGGTCTAGAGCTGCAACTAACGATTATTTTGTAATCGATTAATCTATCGATAATTTTTACGATTAATCGAGTAATCGCTTGGCTGTGAATTGTGTAGAAAAAATAGATTTTTTCATCACAAAAAGCTAAAGTGGCAACACTCGAGGACGTATTGAGGCGTAAACTTAAAGTAAATGTTTGTAACAGGCTCTTTGTGCTAATTCTGCTCTGATTGGATGAGACAGACAGATATTCATGAAATTATAAAAACAAAGTCGGTTTTAATCAAAAATACTACATTTTCATGTCATTTTTGCTCTGTTTGAGTCCGTGTGAACCAGAAAACAATTAATCAATTACTAAAATAGTTGTCGACTATTTCAATAATCGATTAGTCGTCGATTAATCGATTAGTTGTTTCAGCCCTACTCTGGTCTCTCTCTCTGGTCTCTCTCTCTGGTCTCTCTCTCTGGTCTCTCTCTCTGGTCTCTCTCTCTGGTCTCTCTCTCTGGTCTCTCTCTCTGGTCTCTCTCTCTGGTCTCTCTCTCTGGCCTCTCTCTCTGGCCTCTCTCTCTGGCCTCTCTCTCTGGCCTCTCTCTCTGGCCTCTCTCTCTGGTCTCTCTCTCTGGCCTCTCTCTCTGGCCTCTCTCTCTGGCCTCTCTCTCTGGTCTCTCTCTCTGGTCTCTCTCTGGTCTCTCTCTCTGGTCTCTCTCTCTGGTCTCTCTCTCTGGTCTCTCTCTCTGGTCTCTCTCTCTGGTCTCTCTCTCTGGTCTCTCTCTCTGGTCTCTCTCTCTGGTCTCTCTCTCTGGTCTCTCTCTCTGGTCTCTCTCTCTGGTCTCTCTCTCTGGTCTCTCTCTCTGGTCTCTCTCTCTGGTCTCTCTCTCTGGCCTCTCTCTCTCTGGTCTCTCTCTCTGGCCTGGCCTCTCTCTTCTGGCCTCTCTCTCTGGTCTCTCTCTCTGGTCTCTCTCTCTGGCCTCTCTCTCTGGTCTCTCTCTCTGGCCTCTCTCTCTGGCCTCTCTCTCTGGTCTCTCTCTCTGGCCTCTCTCTCTGGCCTCTCTCTCTGGTCTCTCTCTCTGGTCTCTCTCTCTGGCCTCTCTCTCTGGTCTCTCTCTCTGGCCTCTCTCTCTGGTCTCTCTCTCTGGCCTCTCAGAGCAGAGCACCTTGTTTAGAACTCTCCTTTCTTTGGCTGTGATATCACCAAACCACACAGTCACAGAAACTCTACTCTACTTTTGCTTTCTCCGAACTGAACAAGTAAAATTATACAAAGAAAAGATACTTTACCTAAACAAGTAACTCTCTTTCTTGTTGTTAATGAAGCCTTGTGCCAAATCTCTCGGAACGACAAACTTCAAAGTTGAGCCGACTTGCTCCTCATCGTCCAAGGAGTACAACTAAAAAGACACAACAACTTTAAGTGACAGATATGATCCTTTTTGTCGATAATAAGAACACACTTTCTTATCATTTGTATTTTGACTGACTCTAAACTCTCCAAATTAACACTCACTCCGAAAGTTTTCTGAGACTCATACAGTATATTGCTAAATGTATTAATTTTATCAGTAAATATGTAATCGACAATATGGACATGTTTGAGGTTTAGGGGTTTCTGGAGCCAAAGGTAATCAATAAAATGTCAGCGTACAGTAGAATATGTGGCTCTATAACAGTAGCAACACAATGGGCCTAACTATGCATTTCATATTATGAGTTCATTTACTCAGCAACATCTCAGACAGAGACGTTGCTCTTTTCTTGGCTTTAGCACTAGTGCAGGGGGTGCACCATAGACTGTAACTATTAAGGGAGCACATGTTTTCTCCAGTGACACTTAACTATTAAAACATAGAGGGGCTGCATTTCAGATTTATGAAGCTACAATCTGGAACAATCTTCCTGAAAAGGTGAGACAGTCTTCTTTTCTGTTTATATCCAGGTTAAACACAGTTTTGTTTATCTGTGCTACAACTAAGGGAGTTTATATTTTTATCTTTCTTTTTAATGTTTTGTGATTATTTAAGATTATAACGCCTTGTGTGACTGTTTCTATCTTGTTTGTTCAGCCCTATGTGTATGAATTGTGCTAGACAAATAAACTTGCCTTGCCTAAATATTATTATAATAGATGCAGTCCACTTACTTCAGAAACAGCTGTTAAATATATATATATATATATATATATCATCATATATATATATCATATAATGACAACAATAGTGTGTTAGCTAATTGTTCTAAACCCTAACTCTATGGAGGGAACTGTTCAGTTGTTGTGACACAGTCAAACTTAACCAAGTTGACGCGAGCTTAGCATTAGCTTAGCATTAGCTTAGCATTAGCTTAGCATCTGTCTATCTAACTAGAGGTTAGTTATCCTTAGCCTTAGCTAAGCTAACCCGAAGCAAAGTAAACTGTAATCAGATGTTGGGGAAAGGACTCACCGCTGACGTTTTCTCAGTGGGTTTAATGCGGCCAAATATCTTTATGGTGTGATTTACCATTTTACTTGTTAGTTTAAAGTTTTAATGTTGTTCTCGCTCGCGCGTCGTGTCCTGAACCGTTGTGTCTGGTTGCTAGGGACCCGTTGCTAGGGAACGATAGAAGGGGATCCTGTAGCACCTTTTCTACAGCCCAGATTTCAGGTTTTTCATCTGCATTAATACCTTTCATATTCACAATCTTTATTAAAACTGCGCATGTCACACAGAACGAAAAGCAGTTTTGTGTATTTTATTTACTATTTACCAAAAGTATGAGAACGTTCTGTAATGCGCGTCCATCATAGACTGTAAACATTACCGTATTGTATTGTGTCCTTAATAAAGATGAATAATAATTAAGAAAATTACAGTCTGTGTCTTCTCCAGACTCGTGAGTATACTTTTCATTCAGAAACTCTTTCAAACAGTCAGGTCAAAGTTTAGTGATTCATCATTGACATATTACGTCAATACGGCTTTTGTTTCAGTTATGGCACTCCTTGCACTTTGCCAGTGGCACTTTATCACGAGCTGAACAGCATCTGCCTTTACTGTCAATATTCTATTGAACATTTCATACATTACTGCAACAACATTTCCCATAAAAAACATAAAAGATTGGAACTTGAAACTTAACATCTGGTGAGTAATGAGTAAATTTGTATAATGGATATAATTATACAAATCATTTGTATAATGGATATAATTATACAAATCATTTGTATAATGGATATAATTATACGAATGATATTCAGTAAAATATGTTTTTTGAACCGCAACATAGTATTTATCTTTATCTGCTACTACTTTAAATGTGGTTTAAAATTATCTAAATGTAGGTTTTACTATTATTCACTTGTTTAAAGTATTTTGTTTTAAAAAATACGTCACAGGCCCGTCACAGCTCCGATGGTCTAACCAGCTCCAATGTGGTAGATTGACCACAAGACTACCATATGTCATATCTTAAATCTGCATGATTGTTTACTAGATCCACTGACACCTGATGTTCTCAGCACAAGGTCCATCCAGACGTTGCCTCTGAAATCTGACAAAACACACACCATCCCTGAACCAGCATCTCGGTGGAGATTGAGATTTGTACAGGACTCGTCACAGTCTCAGACCCATGCGTGTGTCATATTTGAGGAGATAGTTGCTTTGGTCCAGGCTCCAGTTCCAGTTTATGTGTGTCATGCTTCACACACGGTGCAATGCTTCAGTAGAGGTCGTAAAAATCTGTGTGTTGTTAATACTTTCTGCTGCATATGCTGATGCAAGGGCAGCTTGGGGGCACAGAATTCACTGCCCCAGTTTATCATGTGCTTGATTTTCACAAAAATGTATTTGTATTTTGTGAGTAAAGTTATATTTCCAATATTTGGAACGTTCAATGTTTAAAGTAGTAGTATTAGTAATCTTTATTTATATACCGCCTTTTCACTGCACATTGGAGTCTCAAAGCGGTTTACAATTGTTATTCTTGGGCATTTGTCCTCTCACTCCACACAGAGATGAGAGCGGGGTCGCCAGTATAGGAGGCTGCATTTTGAATGTACTGCAGCTGTTTTACAGCCTGTTTGGACAGACCTGTGAGCAGGCCATTGCAGTAGTCTAACCTACTGGAGACAAATGCATGGATAAGAATCTCCAAGTCTGCTTTAGACACTATGTTTTTGATCCTGGCAATGTTTTTTAGATGGTAAAAAGCTGCTGATGTTACTGATTTGATGTGGCTATTAAAATTTAAGTCTGAGTCCAGTATTACCCCTAGATTTCTGACCTTGTTTGAAGGTTTTAGGGAGAGAGACTGTAGATGACAGATGACGCTCTCTCTTTGTTTCTGGGGACCAAAGACAATCATTTCAGTTTTGTCTGCGTTTAGCTGAAGGAAGTTGTTTTGCATCCACTCACTGATCTGTTGGATACAGTGAAGGAGTGAGTCCACTGGTCCATGTTCTCCTGCAGTCAGTGAGACATAGATCTGAGTGTCGTCTGCATAGTTATGATAGGAAACTTTGTTTCTGCGTATTAACTGACCTAACGGCAGCATGTAGAGATTGAACAGAAGAGGTCCCAGGATCGACCCCTGTGGGACTCCACAGGTCAGGGCCATATGATCTGAGACACAGTTTCCAATCTCCACAAAATACTTCCTGTCTTCAAGGTAAGACCTAAACCAACTTAGGGCGGTGCCAGCGACGCCAACCCAGTCCTCTAGTCTCTGTAAGAGGATCTCATGGTCGACAGTGTCAAAGGCAGCACTTAGATCTAACAGGATTAGGATTGAGACTTTGCCTGCGTCAGTGTTCAGCCGGATATCGTTTGTAACCTTGACAAGAGCAGTCTCAGTGCTGTGGTGGGGTCTAAAGCCGGACTGAAACATATCAAATGAGTTGTTGATTATAAGAAATCTATTTAGCTGTTGGTAGACAACTTTTTCAAGGACTTTCCCCATAAATGGCAGATTTGAGATGGGACGGTAGTTGTTAAGTACCGTAGCATCCAGACTGCTCTTTTTTAGCAGGGGCCTGATGACTGCAGTTTTCAGGGCCTTTGGGAATATTCCAGAATGAAGGGACATGTTTACTATCTGTGTGAGTGAAGGTAACAGACTGCTCAGAACAGACTTTAGAAATCTAGTGGGTAGTACATCCACTACCTATATTCAAAATAAAAAAGGTCTACTTGGCTTAATTACAGACATTTTTATTAATACACAATGTCCCTGTCAAATAAAAAAATACAATACTTTAATTTTAAGATCATTATTTTAAAAAGGCTACTCTAAATAAAAAATGTAAAAAAATGTATGCCCCAGGATCTAATTAGCCTGTTTTTGTTTTTCTTCTCATCCCATTGCATTCCGGTCATTTGTTTTGTTCAGATTCTTTGACAGTATTTCCATTCTTTACGACTCACTCCTCCCAAAGGGTCGAGGTGGGCTCTCAGACGTGTCCCCCACATTCTTCTTATGTCTCTGCGGGACACTCTTACATAATAACCATAACTCAGAAGATGTGATGAGTGTGAATCATGGGTGTGTCAAAGTCGAGGCCCGGGAGCCAGATCCGGCCCGCGAACTGAATGATCTCGGCCCAGGGTGGTATTTGATTAGTATTCAAACCAGCCACAAACACACGACATAAGAAAATATTGGATAATTCTTTTAATGTTCATGTTGGAAGAAAAATTTATAAGGACAAATTGTCGACTGAATATGAAGAAAACGAAAATATTTAAGTGTGCAGTAAGTTCGTAGTTATTGAATATAAAATAAATATGCTAGATTGGCGACGGATAATGTTGGGGGTGAAAATGTTAAAATGTCTTTGCAACCAGAAAAACAAGGGTTTCTAAGGCTCTGTGTCTTCCTTCTGTTCCTATTTGTTTATGGCGCACAAATGTATAGGCAAAATGCATGCTGTAAGTATTTAATCTGGCATGAACAAATATATAAATACACACATTTTCTCTTTGAAGGAAGTTTGTTTTTGAGTCTGTTGAAAAATGCACAGACAGAGCCACAAAAATATGGGATTAATCAGTTAATCATGAAATAAAATACGGTCCACTGTGTTAGGTGGTAATACACCTTGTTACCCGTCCTGCTCCACCCAGAGGCTACTCCACCTCTGCTGCTGTGACCCGTCCTGCTCCACCCCAAGGCTTCACCACCTCTGCTGCTGTGACCCGTCCTGCTCCACCCAGAGGCTACTCCACCTCTGCTGCTGTGACCCGTCCTGCTCCACCCAGAGGCTACTCCACCTCTGCTCCTGTGACCTGTCCTGCTCCACCCAGAGGCTACTCCACCTCTGCTCCTGTGACCTGTCCTGCTCCACCCAGAGACTACTCCACCTCTGCTGCTGTGACCCGTCCTGCTCCACCCAGAGGCTACTCCACCTCTGCTCCTGTGACCTGTCCTGCTCCACCCAGAGGCTACTCCACCTCTGCTCCTGTGACCTGTCCTGCTCCACCCAGAGGCTACTCCACCTCTGCTGCTGTGACCCGTCCTGCTCCACCCAGAGGCTACTCCACCTCTGCTGCTGTGACCCGTCCTGCTCCACCCAGAGGCTACTCCACCTCTGCTGCTGTGACCCGTCCTGCTCCACCCAGAGGCTACTCCACCTCTGCTGCTGTGACCCGTCCTGCTCCACCCAGAGGCTACTCCACCTCTGCTGCTGTGACCCGTCCTGCTCCACCCAGAGGCTACTCCACCTCTGCTGCTGTGACCTGTCTATCCATTTATCTATCTAATGATTGTATTTTCTACTGGTTATATACAATCCTTTTCATGTTTTGTTAAACATTGAACCTCAGTCCGGCCTCGGCTTGTATCACTGGAGTTGTTTTGGCCTCTGATGTATTTATCATATTTATCTGGTGCAGAATACCGTCCTGTCTCTGTCAACGTCAAAGAGACATAGGGTTAGGGCCACATTTACAGTCTCTTAACTACCAGGGTGTTGTAAATCTAAACACAAAAACGCAACACAGTCTAGTTGTTTTTGTGTAAGATTCATTTGTCTCATTTACAATGGTTCCTCCGCAGCCAAGAGTGATGTCGATGAAACAATTATCCAGCGTGGAACTGATGATTTAGCTGTGAATGCCGAGCTGCTGTAAAGTCTGGAGCCCTGAAAGCTTTTTTGAATATCCTGTTTTGGTCCGAGTGTTGCCTTTAGTTTGGCTCGCATAGCTGTGGCTTCACTCCAGAGAATTCCACTGACTGTAGGAACTCAGCGTGAATGAACACAACCTCACATAAACTACTACGAAAGTGTCTGTAAAGAAAAACGAACCTGGGAAATAGAGAGAGCGGAAGGCACTGGAATGGAATGGGTGTTAAAACATTCATGATTTTGTGTGTTTTGGTTTTTACAGTAAGTAAGTAATGTTTATTTATATAGCACATGTTACAGACCAAGGTACAGACCCAAAGCACTTTCCAATGTTCAGAGTCAGATATTGTTCTAATCATTCCACACACGGTGATGACAGAAGCGAGTCCAGAACACACT